GGTAGCGTCATGTAGGATTGGGTCATCCAAAGTCTACACACACACACCTTCCCCCTCATCATTCCTCCTCACTCCTCCTCCTTATATCATTCCTCCCTCATTCCTCCCTCACTCCCTCCATCACCCTCCCTCATTCCTCCATCATTCCCTCCTCATTCCCTCATCATTCCTCCCTCCACTCCCTCCCTCATTCCTCCCTCCTCCCTCCATCATTCCCTCCCTCATTCCCCTCCTCCATAAATATCCAGAAATTCGCCCCCTGTAGATTTTCAATTCGGTTTACAAATTCAGCATTAATCCTCGTTCCTTGGTTCATTGGTCGACAAAGCTCACCCAGTTTGAAAAGTATAAAAGACAATGAAATTCTGATCAGACCTCCAGGCCCTGAGTGCTCCCCTCCCCCCCTGCCCCCCCCCCGTCCCCGCCCCCGCCCCGCCCCCGCTCCGAAATGGTTCTTCAAAGTTCCCTCTTCCGGGCGATTGGACAGCAATATAAGACCTTTACGATTAGATCCGATTTGAAATTCAGATCTGATTCTGTATTAGCCTATACCATGAATTCTATCTATCATTCCAGTGCTTTTTTGAGGGAGGGGGGGACGTGTGTGTGTGTGTGTGTGTGTGTGTGTGTTTCGTCCCTTCCTCCTCCTCCTACTATCCCTCCCCTCTTTTTTCACCCTCCCTCCCTCCCTTGAGGGTAGGGGATCAAAGTCTGTTTGATCCTTTTGTGGAAAAGGTTTCGGCTCTCGAATCCCCGGCTTGATACCTCCCACAGGCCAGAATTTATGGAAAAACCTAACCAGCTCTCTCTCTCCCTTCCTCTCTCTCCTTCTTCCCTTCCCTTCCTTCCTCACCCTCTTCATTACCTCCCTTCGCCTCTCTATTTATCCATCTACCCACAAACGCCCCCTTCCACCCTCAACCATCCTCTCCACCCTACCTATACCCATTCCACACTCATCCACCTAAACCCTCCCACCCACAAACCCTTCCTCACCGTCAACCATCCCGCTACCCAACCCACCTCAACCCACCCACCCACCCACCCACCCACCCTCGTATTATTTCCTTCAAGCTTATTTCAGATGTTGAATAAAAACATCGCAGTATCAGTTCCATTGCCTTGCATATCCAACCATCAGGATCTATTTCCAGCCCGGAGACAATAACACACACACACACACACACACACACACACACACACACACACACACACACACACACACACACACACAGACACACACACACACACACACACACACAGACACACACACACACACACACACACACACACACACACACACACACACACACACAGACACACACACACACACACACACACACACACACACACACACACACACACACACTAGCAAAAACATTCAACAAAAATATCTAGTAAAAAAATTCCTACGTGGTGACATTTTTTTTGGAGGATAAATATGACAAAAAAACATAACAAAAACACAATACAAAAACTACTTAAAACCTGACACAAACAAACACAGACAAACACACAAACAAACACAAACACAAGACATAAAAACAACAAAAACAACAAAGACATAATAAGAAACAGGGAAAAAGTGCCTAGAATGAGGGAGGAGGGGATAAATGGAAGCCTACCCAGCCTACTTTAGAAATATTATAGGACTCCAAATAGCTGATATGGTTATCATTTGTGTTGATACGTTGGAGTTGTGACGCTAGAGGAGGAAGAGGGGGTGATGGAGTGAAGGAGGCAGTGAAGGAGAGTTTCTGGTGACGAGAGAGTTTGTTGTCGCAATTGTGGTAAAGGTCGAGGTGATGGTGGTAGTGGTGATGGTGGTAGTGATGATGGTGGTAGTATAGGAATGGTGGATGGTGGTAGTAGCCCAGTTGTTATTGTCTTGTGGAGTTCGACCAACTTTTATCAATACTCTCTCTCTCTCTCTCTCTCTCTCTCACCATGTATCAGGTTCATTTCTCTCCTTTCTCACTATCTCTTTGTCTCACTCTCTCACCAGACTCGTAACACCCGGCATGTATCCGGCCTGTCAATCACTCACACACACACACACACACACACACACACACACACACACACACACACACACACACACACACACACACATCTTTTCTATCCACTTTTCTCTGTCTCCATTTATTTATCTCTCAGTCTCTCTTTCCCTCTCATCCTACATCTGTGTGTGTGTGTGTATGTGGTCAATGTCTAACGTGTCAATCACTCACACACACACACATACACAACACAGACACACGTACACACACACACACACACACACACACACACACACAGCACACACCAACTCAATAAAACACAATCAGCCCATTTGTCATCACTAGACCCCTCCCCCTACCCCTCCCTCCTCCCCCCGACCCCTCACACACACACACACTCACAGTCGATGCCGCAGTAGTCACTCTAACCACTATGTGTGGGGTGGGATTAAGGTCCAATATAGCCCTTCACTGACGCCCGTTCGGTGGTAGTGACGTCCTCTCTGTCCCGGGATAATCTGACAATGGAACGAGGTGGGTGGTGTAAAGCCCCCCCTCTTCCCTCCCCTCCCCACCCCAACCCCACCCGTCAAGTGAGTTACAATACTGAGTGTTATACCCAACTAGTCCTTCCTTCCTTCCTCTCTTCATTTCTTTCCTCCCTCCTTCCTTCCTTCCTCCCCCCTCCTCCTTCCTTCCTCCCCCTCCCTCCTTCATCATCCTTCCTCTTCCCTCCTCCTCTCCTCTTTCTCCTTCTCCTTTCTTTCTTTCTCTCTATCTCTCTTTCACAGGACCTCTCTCTCTCCTTCCATTTTTACTCTAATTCAGTCCTTTTCCCCCCCCCTCCATCTTTCCATCTCCCATTCCCCCTTCCATCTACCACCTCATCTTCCTCTCTCTATCCTCCATCTCACCTCCTTTCCTCCATCTACCTCACCTCTCTTCCTCTCTCCTCCATCTCCTCCTTCCTCCATCTCCTCTCCCTTCCTCCCAACCCATCTCACAGTGTTTATATTTCTCAACTGTTCCGCCAATCCACACTTGCCTCTTCATTTCTATCTCTATAATTATGATAAAATGAATAATATTAACAAAATATATAATAAAATAATAAAACAATCGTTAAATAAATCCTTAAAACAACCCAAAATAACAAAGATAACGCCAGACTCTCCTCTCTCTCTCTCCCTAACACCCCCCAAGCGAGCAGGCGAGTCAAGTGGTGATCGTCATCTGTTTGTGTTTACCCGCCTAATCCTTTGTTTGGGCATGTGAAGCCGATTGAGCACGTATAGGCGCGGGATTGATCGGACCTAATCCCATCTGGCGATAAACTGACAATCGTTTCCGTATTCAATTCTTTTTTTTTTTACCTTTTTGTGTGTGTGTGTGTGTGTGTTTCTCAGTGAAGGGGTGGCGGGTGTGTACCTGGGTTAAGTGTTAACAGTGTTAGTAGCGGTTTCAGCTCTCCCGGGTAAAAAAATATATATATATATCTGGTTTTGCTTCTTTTCTGATTCCTAAAATCTTTTGCCTCAAAATATAAACATCAAGTGAATTATTGGGTATAATTTTTAGCGGATAATTATCGAACGCTATAGAGGTTATATTAACTAATAAAATACTAATTATTTCATCACGTGTGTAGAATAAATGATTTAATCCATTTTAATAAAGTCATTAGCCAATATTAATTATCTCTCATCTATAATTAAGTATAATAGCTCTACAGGGTAATTATATCAGTAATTACAGTGATTACCTGAAGATTATCCACCAGCTTAACTTTTGCCTGAGTCGGGTTGGGTTATATTAAGTTCCTGGTTAGAGTTGAGTTGGGTTAAGTTGGTTAGATTAAATTGAAGTTGAATTAGGGGTTTAATGTCTTCGTGAGGGGTTTAATCTTCACGTGAGGGGGGTTTAATCTTCACGTGAGGGGGTTTAATCTTCACGTGAGGGGGTTTAATCTTCACGTGAGGGGGGTTTAATCTTCACGTGAGGGGGATTTAATCTTCACGTGACGACAAAAACACAATAACAAACAAAATCACGCCCAACAAATAAACCCCGCGGCCAAACTACCCAAATTGATAATCACACATTAACTAATTTATCTCCAGTAAACGCTTCCATGAGTGTATAGGCCTATCGGGTACGTGTAAACAATAGGCCTATGTCTAACACGCAGGCTAACTATGTCTCCTATCACTTAACAAGCCCGGAAGCTCAGTAATTAAATCAGTAGGGGCGATAAGGGTGATTGGCGAGCGGCGAGGTGATAGGACACGTTTGATTATGGCGAAGATAAACAGGCGAGTTGAAACTGATATTAATATAGTTCTGTGGGCCTGACTCACCCACACCCGGCCTGACTCACCCACACCCGGCCTGACTCACCCACACCCGGCCTGATTCTGCTCCACACCCGGCCTGACTCCGCACACATCCGGCCTGACTCACCCACACCCGGCCTGATTCCACCCACACCCGGCCTGATCACTCCACACCGGCCTGACTCGCACACATCCGGCCTGACTCACCCACACCCGGCCTGACCTTCGCAATAATATCCGGCCTGATCGATTCCTCACCCACACCCGGCCTGACTCAGCCCACACCCGGCCTGACTCACCCACACCCGGCCTGACTCACCCACACCCGGCCTGACTCACCCACACCCGGCCTGACTCACCCACACCCGGCCTGAGTCACCCACACCCGGTACTAAGCGGGATTAGGTTAGATTAGGTTAAGTGGTTCACATGACACCTTTAGTCTCAGCCTCAGGTGATAATTATTAGAAACTGTTAATTAGTTCACCTGCCTTGTCTATGTATACCTGTAAGAACTAACTGTAAGCTTGTATGATGATTTTAATGACTATCAATCTATCTTTATTTTCTATCTAATTAACTATGCATCTATTCTCTGTGTGTGTCTACTATCTATCAACGTCCAGCGGCCACTTCACCACACCCCGTTTTCTTTCTCCTCCGTCAGGTGTGGTTCCAAAATCGACGCACAAAATGGCGGAAGCGTCACGCGGCGGAGATGGCCACGGCCAAGCGGAAGCAGGAGGAGGCGGTGGACGGGTACGGCGACGAGGAACAGGACGACGACGAGGAACAATCAGAGTCTAAACGCGTGAAGCACAGCCTAGACGACTTGGCTGAACCCTCCTGCGCCTCACAGCCGCCTCCAGCCGGCTCTCACCTCCCCGCCATGGTCGCCACACACTCGGCTGTCTCCCTCGACGCCCTGGAGTGTCCTTCGTCCAGGGATCTCCAGCCTGATATGCAGTGAAGACCTGTGTTGTGTTGTGTACTCCTAAATGTCCTTCCTTCCTTCCTTCTCTCTCTCTCGCACCTCTTCCTTCCTTCCTTCCTCCTCCTTCTCCCTCATCAAGCTAGGTTTCATGTCCTAGGTCTGCTGTGTCCTAGAGCCCATCAGATGTCCGTGTCCTAATGCCATCAAGGTTACGTGTCCTTATTCTTACCCACAGTCTGTGTGTTCTCCTCTCCTCCTTCTTCATCCCTAGAGGTTCCGTGGCCCAATAATGATCACCTCTTCCTCTTCTCCCTCCTTCTTCCTCGCCTCGTCCCCCTCTTCACACCTCCTCCTCGTCCCCCTCCTCTTTCTTCTCCTCTTCCTCCTCCTCCTTCCTCTCCTCCTCCTCACACCTCCGACACGGCAGCTGGGACGCTCAGACACAGCTGGACATAAACCCGTATCAGGTTATAGTGGAGGGAAGGCAGCATCTAACAGAGGTGAGGAGAGCTGGCAGCACCCCACCCACCTCCTCACACTGAGTAACTCCCGTGTATAGATCGTGTATTAATACTTCATCTAATACATATACAGAACGCACATGTGCTTTATAAGAAGGCACGTGTGGATATCTTGTGGATTAGCACGTGTGGATATCTTGTGGATTAGCACGTGTGGATATCATGTGGATTACTGAGTTCTTTAAAGGTTCAAAGTCAGATTAAGTTACGGATTTTATAAATAAATAAATAAATAAAAAAGTTATAGGTACAGTTTGATGATAAGGACGGTGTCTCCAGGTGTACCGCGTTCACTAGTTTGAATCTTTCTCTGTGAATCAATACTCGCAAAACGAGCTTTACTATATAATACATTTGTGATATATTTAAAAAGAAAAACAAATATATCCGTCACCTTTCCATAAATCCAGTTTTTTTTCTTCTCTCTAAAATCTGTGGTTATAAGAGGTACTGTAATAGGTGGTGTTTGGTCGCCGCTGCCCTCACCGCGCCCTATAGATCTCCCCTCACGTCTCCTTGATTAGGCTAAACACGTCTTGTTCACGTTCTCTTATGGCAATACTGAAGTAGAAGACTTGTATGAAGCCGCAGACCAAATAACACAATACAGGAATTACCGAGGTAAGGTGTGTGTGTGTGTGTGTGTGTGTGTGTGTGTGTGTGTCGCTGTAACTCTCCAAGCGCAGGACAACTTCTCTCAACTCTCTTGTCGTCGTGGATGAACCTGTCGTCACCCCGCCACCAACGACACGACGATACAGAACCACAAGTGAAATAAACTGTCGTCAAACAAGAGAAACAAACAAATAAACCCGACGATGTTTTGAACGATTTAGAAACATTATCAAGAGTCTTAAGTGAGTCTGGAGGCTGGTGAATGAGCCTTCTCTCTGACCCTATACAGTAAGCAGTGTCTCGCCTCTGGTTCTGTGTCCGCTAACTCGACTTCGTCCAGGACAAATATAAATATAATCTTGTCTTCTTCCGTTATAATAATTAACTGTACAGGTGTGTGTGTGTCAGGTGTGTGTGTGTGTCAGGTGTGTGTGTGCCAGGTGTGTGTGTGTTAGGTGTGTGTGTGTGCCAGGTGTGTGTGTGTGTGTCAGGTGTGTATGAGAGAGTGAGACTTCTTCCTCCGTCTTTTAATATATTTTGGTCAATAGAAGATCTTGTGTATGGTAGAGGGACAGACAGGCTGCAGGTGTGTGTGTGTGTGTGTGTGTGTGTGTAAGGCGTCCATCAAGCTGTGTACATTCTTAAGCCTGTTGGATGGACTATAACACACACACAATCTTTCATAAACAATTTTTTAGATCACAATTGTTGTTATATAAGTCAAGACGCCCACACATTCCCCCACAATCTGGGCTTCAATGACCTTTGCCAATTGACTTCTGAAACTACACACCCCCACACACCCCACCCCCCCAACCTATCTCTCTTCTACCTCAACTAAGGAGAGAGAGGGAGAAATACAACAACCACAACGACTAAAATACACTATACCCACCCCTCAAAAAACACAAACATCACCCGAGTGTAATTTCAGAACTCGAGGCATTTATCTCACATCTCGTCACCCTCATGGTACCAGATCTGTCAATTAAAGCCATAGGACGATCTAGCCACTGTGCCTCCCCTCCTCTCTCCTTCCCCCTTCCTTCTTCTCCTTCTACACCCCCCCTCCTTCATGATGCCTCTGCTGTCCTAGGAATAAAACATAATTTAATAAACTACGTACCGTGGCTGCTAGTCCAACTTGATGTGAATGCTAAGATACCTGTAGATTACATCATAGTGTTAGATAATTATGTGTAATTTTGTACATAGTTTAGAATTTAAGAGTGTTGATATATTGTAATTTTTTGGGGGGGTTTGTTTTAAAGGGGTGTATACATATTCTAATTAGGTAAGAGATTCATAGTTGGTGCCCATACATACATTATATACATACATATATACATACATACATAATAGTGCCAACTTTGAGACACCTGATAATTTTAACTCTTTGATATGTTTGTCTTCTCCTCTTCCTCTTCTTCCTCTTCCTCTTCCTCTTCCTCTCCCTCCTCCTCCTCCTCTTCCTCTTCTCCTCTTCCTCTCCCTCCTCCTCCTCTTCCTCTTCTCCTCTTCCTCCTCCTCTTCTCCTCCTCCTCCTTCTCCTCTTCCTCCTCTCCTCTTCCTCCTCCTCCTCCTCCTCCTCCTCCCTTGATCTACCTGCCCGCTATAGAAGGACCTACTGTAAACCTGTGTCGGGGATTCAGGAGTAATAAAGCTTATAGCGAACATGGTTGTCATACGAGACTTTAAATAAATAAATAAATAAAACAAAACCTCTTTATCTTGCGTTGTGAATAAATAAATAAATAAAATAAACACCATTTTAATCTCGCGCCAAAACTACGACTAACTGTGAAATCTGATATGAATTCTTTTTTAATGGAAATGTGTGATTTCTCTCTCTCTCTCTCTCTCTCTCTCTCTGATGGTGACCCCCACCCCTCACCCCCCACCCCCCCCCCCCCCTCCACCCCCCATAATATGACAGTCTAGCGCCATATTGGATTCTATTGCCGAGGGTCACTTCCCTTGTAACTGTATATAAGAATGATCCTTGTTGACTCCGGCACTAAGACCCAATATGGCTGATCAATCTCATTCATTAACTCAATTTTCTGTGATTATTTATTTATTTTTTAATGGCAAACTGTAATTCCGGTTTATGATGATGATGATGATAATGGTAACAAAATAATAATACGGTCATTAATAAGATCATTATTATTATTATTATTATTATTATTATTATTATTACGTAAACTCATGTAAGAGTCTCCCACACAACCAAACACCATGTAAAACAAACCGGTAAAAAAACAAACAAAATCACCCAAATTTACAGTTCATCCAGTCAAATTCTAACTGTTAAGGGGCGCCATTAGTGACTGTATGAGTGTTAATCCAAACAGTTAATAAATAAATACAGAGGGTGAGCGAGCGAAGGTATGTATAGGAGTGACAGTATACCTATGTTTATGTATACCTGTGTGTATACCTGTGTGTGTACCTGTGTGTGTATAGTATGGTCTCTCTCCCTCACATTGTTTAAGAGAGGGGGGGGGGTGAAGTGTGTGTGTATGTGTGTGTATGTGTGTGTGTGTGTATGTGTGTGTATAATTTGGTATAATTTTATTTGTGTGTCAGAAAGTTATACAATTACTATGTATCTTGACGATTATTACAACTACAAATAAAATCTTTCTATTGTATATCCTGGTGTTAATTTATTCATATATTCTCTATACATACAATCCCCTTCTGTATACATATTTTAGTTATACAAGGCGTTTATATATCAAAGTTAACTAAAAAAATGTATCTATGTAAATTTAATAATGTAAATCTATCAAAATAATGGAGAATATATTTATTATTATTATTATTATTATTATTATTATTATTATTATTATATGACAGAAAACAATGGAACCAAAAAATCAGAACTAAAAATACGTCAATAATAAGATTAAGATCAAAATAAGACTTAGACTATATTAAATAAGAATGTCAAGCATGATGAATATGTCCTTATCATTCACAAACAAAGAATGATAAGAATGATAACCACTGATATAAGAATAAGGTAATGAATCTAATTTAACCTCATAATTAAAAATAACAATACAAATAAAACGGAATTATGAATCACAGACGAAGGATAAACTCGTGTAAAATAACCAAGTTTAGATTTTTTCCCTAAACATAAAAAAAATATATAACATGAAACTAATATATAAAATGGACTTAGAATTTATATATGACATAATTTAGTCATATAATAGAAAACAAGCTTCAAATATGTGTTATTCGATGAGGTTAAGAGGACACATATTAGAATCATATCACATACCCTACAAAATATGTGTTGGATATGTGGCTGGAGTACACATAACACATATTATACACCAATAGATATTAAAAATTAACATATATGTGACTTGTGGAGATATGTGTACATTATAGGTAATATAACCACATATACGAGAGATAATCAAGTATACCTTAGTTATTAACACCTGTGGTACACCTATTAATGAGAATACTATAAAACACCTGTGGGTAATTTGTCACATTTTCTCTCTCTCTCTCTCTCTCTCTCTCTCTCTCTCTCTCTCTCTCTCTCTCTCCACACACTATCATCCTCACTACAGCAGTAATAAATACACCTGCTGACCCTGACACTCTCAATTAAAACCATTTCCCTACACCAACCTCGCCGACGTGTGGATCACCTTGTAGCAAAACACCTGTCCGTAATTACCCCGACAGGTGTTCAGGACAGGTATTTATGACACCTGTGAATTATGTTATATCTACACATGCTTAAAGTTACGTATGCAAATTATTATACATAGTACTACGTTATGTATAATAGTCTACATCAGTGTGTGTGTGTGTGTGTGTGTGTGTGTGTGTGTGTGTGTGTGTGAGCAAACTATGAACAAATCCTCAGCCATTTGTTACACTCGGGTTAACAAATACACAAGAAGAGAACAGTGAACAAAGAACAACATTAACAAAACAAAGATACAAAATAAATAATATCAAGAACAAACCATAACAATAACAATGAAGAAGAACAGAGAGAACAATAAATAAATAAAGAACAATTTGAACAGCGGGACCTAAAAAATTATCAAAAGAACAAAAACTGAACAAAGAGAACAAGACCGATACCATAACAAGACAATAACAAAGAAGAACAAAAAAAAACAAGTACAGAACGGACCAAAAGCCATAACAAGGACAATCTCTACTTAACCTTTCGAGAACAATGGTTTAAACCCTCCAGAGAACGACGATAACAACCCCTCAATAACACTGGTTTAAGCCCTCAATAACACTGGTTTAACCCCTCAATAAGAATGGTTTAAACCTTCAATAATTAAGATTTAAATCCTCAAAAACAATGGTTTAAACACCTA